GGTGTCCCAATCACTCCACCTATCTTAATTTGGGGTCCCTGAGAAGCAGGCCCTAAGAACAGATTTGGGGAACTTCACTGTTTGGGAGGGTGTTCCCGGAAGCCCCTGGTCCGGGCCGCGAGCACAGAGAAGGAGCCCTGCAGGGGGCGCCAACCAGCAGGCTCCCAGGAGCCGGTTTCCCAGGGGGCCCTCGGGGCGACAGCCCGGAGCCCGCCTCGGAGATACCGGAGGTGGCGGGGAGCTGAGGCATTTCTGATCAGCTCGCCTTCCGTCTTGTGGTTGAGGGCCGTCCCCAGGAGAGCCCTGTGGGCCAGCAGGGTGGCCTCCCACTGCCGGAGCAGCCCTCGGCTAAGCAGCGAGCAGGTGGACGGTGCTCGCTGACCGCAGCCGCCTCGGTGCCACGTTTGGTTTGCTCCCCCACCGCCGACAAGAGCGTTCAGTGGCTTCTCAAATTTTACTATAACCGGCGTGGCCACGTGACCTCAAACAGGCTCTTTCCGCATCATTAAAAATCCAGCTTTAACCTTATGAATTCGATTTTGGTGCATCGATGGGCCCTCATGTACCACTCCCCTTCCTCCATGGGACACTCAGCCTGCGTCCTAAGTCGCCTGTGTCCCCCCGTGCCAGGCACACGCTCACGTTCACATCTGCTTCTCGGCCCTTGCCACCCCACAGGGTGGTTTTCACTGTCTGTCTTTTAGGGGGGAGGAGGCGGAGGCGGAGAGAGATTAAGGCACTGGCCCTGGGTCACACGGCCCTGAAGTGGCCAAGCCGACCTCAGTCGTTGTTTGCTGGATGCATGCCTGATCTGCGGTTGCCCTGTCTGTCCACAGTTGGCCCCTGAGTCAGTTCTGCTGCTCCAGCCCAGCCCTGGGTTCTCACACCTGCCCCAGGTCCTGCCCTGCTGGCTCCAGAGCCCCTCAGACACCTTAAGATCCCCCGGCCTCTAGATAGCCTCAGCTGCTGGGTTGGGCCTCCTGGGTGGCCTCCGCCCTCCCTCAGGTGAGACAGGCCCCTAAGGGGGCAGCACCCTGAGGGATGTGGGGGGAAGGAAGTCTGGCATTCAAAGGCTGCACTTGGAACAAATGGGAATGGAAATGGCAGGACAGGGGCTGGGGCCAGAGGTTTGGGGGCCTGGCCCCAGGGAGCACAGGGCTCGAGAGAAGGGCAGATTTGGGACAAGTGTGAGAGCCCAGGAGCTGGATGGGAGGTGGATGGGGGGGAGGGGAAACCCTTGATCCCACTTCAGCTCCCCAGTCTCAGGCATACTGGGGGCAGGGCCCAGGCTGAGGCCTCCGCCGGCACAGGTGGCTACATGGGGGTCAGAGGGTGTGAGGCATATATGGCTAAATTGAGGGGGCCACAGATTGGTGGCCCTGAGTCTGGGTTGTCCCAGGGAAACTCTGTATATATCTCTACCTTTGTCTTTGTGGGAGATCGCTGTGTTTTCCTGGCTATTTTGGAGGGGTCTCTGAAGGTCTCTATAGGTCTCTGAGTACCCTGGGGTCTTGGGGATTCTGAGCTGTTCCAGGTATCTCTGGGGATTTCTGAAGGTCTTTAGGTGTCCCTAAGGACCTCTGGAAGTCTCTGTGCTGAGAGACTGGCCCTGCCTGGCATTGAGGCTTGTTTCAGACCCAGGCTCTGGGCATGTCAGGAGGGGAGGAGGTGGAGTATGGAGGTGTGCCCTCTGGAAGATTCCGGTCCCCCTCAGGCAGTGGAGCCCAGAGCTGCCCTGCTTCCCATAGCCTGGTCACCACCTGCTGGGGCAACAGCAACACGGCCCAGACCCCAGGTCCCCCAGGCCCCAGGCCCATCAGACCCCTGGCATGCTCCAGAACCCAGGACCTCCCCACATGCCAGGAATTTCTAGACCCCCAAGCCCCGGGACCTAGGCCTCCCAAACTCCAGACCCCACTAAATGGTCTAGACTGCAGGTCCCACAGGTCCCCCGACCCACCTCCAGACCCCACTATCCCAGGCCCCAAGCCTGCCTCCCTCCGCCCCAAACACACACACTTCCTCATTTCCTCCTGTTGTAAGAGGGCTTCGTGCTGGACGCTGCCGACTCCTCCCAGGGTGTGGGGCATGGGGGACATCCACCCACACCTGGGCCTGAGGCCAGCTGCCCCTCTTATGCCGAAGGCCCGTCTTTATGTGTGCTTGTTGGCTGAGGCCCATGTTTTCACTGAAAAACATACGTGGGGAGGTTCTCCCTTCCATCTGCCTGATGCTAAGAGGTATCCGTGAATTTTCGTTTTTCATGTTTCATCCAAAATTTCTTTAGCCAATTGAAATCTAGGAGTTTATTTTTTGGCCTTTTTTTTTTTTTTTTTTTTTTAGATTTTATTTATCTGAGAGAAAGAAAGAGCACAGAGGGAGAGTGAGAGGAAGAAGCAGATTGACCCGGGCTCAATCCCAGGACCCTGGAATCGTGACCTGAGCTGAGGGCAGGTGCTTAACCGACTGAGCCACCCAGGCGCCCCTAAATAAATAAAATCTTAGGGGCGCCTGGGTGGCTCAGTCGGTTAAGCGACTGCCTTCGGTTCAGGTCATGATCCTGGAGTCCTGGGATCGAGTCCCGCATCGGGCTCCCTGCTCGGTGAGGAGCCTGCTTCTCCCTCTAACCCTCCCCCATCTCATGTACTCTCTCTCTCTCTCATTCTCGCTCTCTCAAATAAATAAATAAATCTTAAAAAAAAAAAAAGAGTTGCCACCTTCCCTGCTTGCTTCTCGATTTTTATTTTCCTCTGCTTCTTCCACCCGTCTCATATTTTCCTGGTAGATCCCGCACGTCGCTGGTCTCTCCAACTGCTACAAGAAGCCCATGAGGACAGGGATTTTGTCTGTTTTGTTCAGGGCCGTATGCACAGCTCCTAGACCAGTGCCCGGCACACCGTAGGCGCTTTATAAAGCTTTGTGGAAAAAGATGAATGAGTCTTTCCTTATTGGTTCACAGAGCTCTATCATTTTGTTTTTATGACTCTGAGCCACTCCCCACCCCCCCAGGATGGATGAGCTGTTATTCATCTAACCAACCCTTTAGGTTGCTTCCTTTTTTCCACCCTGTATAACAACGCTGCAGTGAATCATCTCTTAGCTCTGCCATCTTTTTGCCTTCCCTCTTTTTTTAAATGGTTCAAAACACACTTAACATAAAATTCACCATTTTAGTCATTTTATAGTGAACAAGTCAGGGGTTTTTTTTTTAGTACATTTCTAGTGTTTTGTTTTTTTTTTAAAGATTTTATTTTATTTATTTGAGACAGAGAGAATGAGAGAGAGAGAGCACATGAGAGGGGGGAGGGCCAGAGGCAGAAGCAGGCTCCCTGCCGAGCAGGGAGCCCGATGCGGGACTCGATCCAGGGACTCCAGGATCATGACCTGAGCCGAAGGCAGTCGCTTAACCAACTGAGCCACCCAGGCGCCCATTTCTAGTGTTTTGCAAGGACCACCAACATCTAGTTCCAGAACATTTCCATTGTCCCAAATGGAAACCCCGTCCCCATGAGCAGGCCTTCCCCCTCAGCCCCCCACCCCCAGCCCCTGGCAACCACCAGTCTGCTTTCTGTCTCCATGGATTTGCCTGTTCTGGATGTTTCCTATCTAATGGAATCACAGGCTACGTGGTCTTTTGTGTCTGGCTTCTCTCACTCAGCATCATGTTTTCAAAGTTCATCCATGATGTAGCGTGTGTGAGGGCTTCGTTCCTTTTTATGGCTGAGGAACATCGCGCTGTATGGATGCACCGCATTTTGTTTATCCACTCACGAGTTAGTTCACGCCCCTGCTGCCCTTCTCATTTTGTAAATGTGAATTATGCAGGAGCAGCCCAGAAGTGGGCTGCTGGGTCAGCAAGCCCAAGAGTTTGTTACTCTGGTGTCCTGTGTCAGTGGGCCTTCCCCTGGGACAGCACCACAGTGTCCCCACAGCCCCGCGAGCACCGGACATGATCACACTTTTGAAGGGTTTTTTTTAAAGATTTTTTTTTTAAGATTTTATTTATTTATTTGAGAGAGAGAATGAGATAGAGAGCATGAGGGGGGGAGAGTCAGAGAGAGAGGTAGACTCCCTGCTGAGCAGGGAGCCCGACGTGGGACTCGATCCCGAGACTCCAGGATCATGACCTGAGCCGAAGGCAGTCGCTTAACCAACTGAGCCACCCAGGCGCCCCTTTTTAAAAGATTTTATTTATTTATTCATGAGAGAGAGAGAGAGGCAGAGGGAGAAGCGGGCTCCCAAGGAGCAGGGAGCCCGATGCGGGACTCGATCCCAGGACCCTGGGATCATGACCTGAGCCGAAGGCAGACACTTAACCATCTGAGCCACCCAGGCGCCCCACACTTTTGAAGTTTTACCAGTCTGATAGGGGAAAACAGAGATAGGGGAAACGGTACCTCAGAGTTGTGATTTGCAATTTTTCTGTGAGGAGGGAGTACCTTTGGGTGTGTTGAAGCAACGACTTGCACCTTTCTATAAAGTCTCAGTTCAAAACCTTTGTTCAATTCCTCTGAGTTCCTAGATGGAAAGGGGCAGAGTTTGAGGAGAGGGGAAAGCATGGGCGAGTGAATTTCAGCTTCCCACAGTCAAGGAGAAGGCTCTTAGGGGCGCCTGGCTGGCTCAGTCGGTTAAGCGGCTGCTTTCGGCTCAGGTCATGATCCCAGGGTCTTGGGATGGAGCCCCACATCGGGCTCCCTGCTCGGCAGAGGGCCTGCTTCTTCCTCTCCTTCTGCCTGCCGCTCTGCCTACTTGTGCTCGCTCTCTATCTCTCTGTCAAATAAATAAATAAAAATCTTTAAAAAAAAAAAAAAAGGAGAGGGCTCTTAGCATTTATCCCATTTTACAGATGTGGAAACTGAGACACAGAGTGGTTAAAGTTGCACCGTGAGTCAGTGTCCGGAATGGATTTGAGCCTGGTCTGCCTGATGCCAGGACCCCGGTGAGGCTGAGACACTCCCCTAGCCCTTAATCTCCTCCTTAACCTACTTTTGTTACTACCCTTTGGGTCTGACTCAAGCCCCCCTCCTCCTCTGGAACTCTGGCCTCCTCCCCAGGTTCCCCATCTCCAGACACCAGGCTCACTCTGGAGGAATCTTTCAACACAGTACCCCTCCACTGCTCACACATATTCCTTGGCTCCCCATGGCCCTGGGAATAATGTCCCACTCCTCAGCCTGGTGTCTGAAGCCAGGACTGCTCACCCCGTGCCCACACCACCAGTTTCTCCTCTCAGCCTGTCCACTCCAACCACTCCACTCCTAAACACACTGTCCCAGTCAGCCATGCTTTCTCAAGCTGCAGGGCATCTGCTCCTATTGTGACTTCTGCCTGAAATCTGCCACGCATTTGTTTCTGCCAGCTACTGTGACTCATCCTCCAAGCCCCAGACTCAACGTCTCCTTCCCCAGGGAACCCTCCTCACAGCCCCTTCCAGCATGGAGGCATCGCTGTACCAGAGCAGGAGCTCTGAGTCTGTGGGGAAGGCTAGCAGGTTGGAGAGTCAAAGGCAGGCTTTAGGAATCCTTGGCAAAACCCTACTCATGTGTGGAAGGCCCAAGTCTAATGCTTCCTCCTCCAGGAAGCCTTCCAAGATTCTGTCCCTCTCTCTGACCTGACCTGACTCCACTGGACTGGGTCTGTCTGTGTCCAGCTCTGTCCTCTCCGAAGACTGGGTGCTTCACCAGAACCTGGCCATACTGAGGCCTTTTGGAAGTTCAGCATGGGTGATTGTTGAATGAACAAGTGAACACATGGGTTGGGCGTCAACCGAGCTGACACCAGGAAGGGAGTTGATGAGGTAGCAGTCGGTCAGTTAGGGTATTAATGGGGGACATGTAGTCACTGGGTTCCAGCAAAAGAGAAGCAGGTCGCCCCTCCCCCTCCCGTGGGACTCCCGGGCCTGAGGCCTTGCAGGGGGGCGGGTCTCTGTGTCTTTATTCTTCCCCTCAGCATTGCACCCGGACACCAGTTCCTCTTCCCGAGTCGCTGGGTGCAGATCCTGAGGAGCGCCCCGGACCACAGCGGATCCGCGGAGGGTGCTGACTACTTCGGCCCCCACGTCCAGGTGAGCCACCACGCAGCCCCTCCCGCGCCAGAACCTTCCACCCCGCCGAGGCAAAAGCGTGGCGGTGGGACCAGAAAGGTAGGACGGAGGCGCTAGAACTTGGGTCCGGGCAGGAGCCTCAAGCCAGACTGGAGGGGGTTCCTTAGAGCAGCCCCATCCGACCCCAGCCCAAGACTCCCAGCACCCCGCAGTTCTGCGAGAAACAATTAGCGGCGCCCGGGGCAGGCCGTTTCCGGGGCAACCGCTTATTTTGCATATGGTCCCATCTTGGCCAATGAGGGCGCCTGAAATATTCGTGGTGGGGGTGGGTGGACGGTGGGGTTGGGGGGGGAATGGGCGACTTAACCCGAAGGGGCTCCACTGGGAGAAGGGGAGGGGCCGACTGGGCCGGGTCTCCTCCTCGCCTTCCAGGACCGTCAGGCACCGGGATTACTCAGGTACCCAATCCCCAGAGGGGGAGGCTGAGGCCAGAAGCCAGAGCCCTCCAGAGGGGCGGCAAGCGAGGGCCTGCGCTTTACCATTTCAGAAGCAGCCTGGGCCACTCTGAGATGATGATGATGATGATGATGATGATGATGATGATGATGATGATGATGATACAACACAAGCAGTGAGGGTGAGGTGATCACAGGCTAAAGTCGGGGCTTGGATTCTGGTGTCTCTGCCCAGGTTGCTTGAATGGGGGGCTCCCTGGCGTGGATGCTGTTGTTGCCGCTGCTGCAGGATCCAGGCAGCCAAGTCTTTTCCTGCAACGTGTCCTCCGGGATCGTGGACTGGAACACAAAGTTCACAGCCATATGCCTGAATTTCAGTGGCCAAGGCCTCCTCCGACTGCCCCAGAACCAGTCTCTGCAGGCCGGGAACCTGCGCTACCTTAACCTGTCTGGGAATCGTCTTCAAAAGCTACCACTGCTCTTCTTTGAACTCCTGGGAAAGCTGGAGGACCTAGATGTGACAAACAACCCACTGACCTGCGTGGACAGGGAGCTGGCCATGAGCTGTAAACTTGACCTGAAGGCTGACTGCAACTGTGTCCTAAAACCCTGGCACCTGGTCCGACAGGACAACTGCTCCGGCCAGCCACCTCTCAAGTGCCGAGACCCAGATACTGGTGTCTGGCGCAATGTCTCCGCCTTCCTGGAGGCTGGCTGCTCCCCTGGCCTGTCCTTGATGACCATCGGGGCCCTGGTGGCCAGTGGCAGCCTGATCCTGGGGCTCACCATTGCTGGCCTAGTGCTGGCCTGGAGACTCCGGGGACGCCGGAGGGTCGGTAACCGGGACCTGGACAAAACAGGGGCTGCCCAGGATGGTTCTCCGTCTGGCTCCGGCAAGCAGCCGAGATACAGTAGCCGGGGCCTCAGCTCTAAGCCCCCAGCGGCTGCCATGCCCAGACCCTCCACCCCCGACTATGAGAATGTGTTCGTGGGCCAGCCAGCTGCCGGGCACCAGTGGGCCGAACATGGGTGAGTGATTCACGCCTGCCTGCAAGACTCTGGAGCCAGATGGCCGGGTTTCTAATCCCTGCACCACCTCTCGTAGGCTGTGTGATCTTGGGCCAGTCGATTTACCTCAGGGCCTCTGTTTTCTCATCTGTAAAATGGAGATAACAGCCCCTACCTCGTAGAGTTGGGGTAAGAATTAAGTGAGTTCCTGTATATGAGACAAATTTCCTCCTTCGTGACCTGCAAACTGAGTTTCTGGTGGCCAAGGATGGGGAGAGAGGAAGCAAGTGTTCCAGGCAGAATAGGGGCTTTGCAGAAGTAGTCGGTGGCCTGGTTCAGATCCTGTGTGACCCAGGGCTATCTCTGAGCCTCTGTTTCAGTCTCTGTAAGATGGGGACAGCTCCCCTTTCCACATGTCCCTTTGACACATGAGATGTTCAGAAAACTGTGTCCTTCTCTCCCCGACAAAGCCCTGACACCTCTAGATTTGGCTGGACTTAGATGGATGGGTTCAACTTTTCCAGGTTGGATGAGGGAATGAAAGGAATTGGAGGGGGCAGCCCCAGCAGGGGCAAAGGCCTAGAGGTGGGAGAGAATGGAGAATCTTCTGTGAATTGGTTTGAGAAGGCAAGACATCAGAGCTGAGGCTGGAGGTGGCTGGGAGAATCCAAGCAGGAATGGAACAGGGTCATGGATCGGTGTGGGCAGGGGAATCCACAAAGTGGGGAGGCTGGTGGGAAGCTGTGGGTGAGAAATGAGAGAATATGCAAAGCAGATGCAAATAGGGCTCCAAAGCAGAAGTGGCCTGCAGGAGGGGGTTGCAGGCATTCGACTCCCTAAGGCAGCTTGTGCTGTGAGGCTCGCCTCGGTCTCGCTGTCACCAAAGCCTCAGGATCAGTCTCCACCAGAAACATTGTTTCGAATGCGATCTGTCATTCCCACCCTACATTTCACTTGTACAAACGGAGGCTCTGGGAGGCAGGGGAGTGACTTGCCCAAGGTCACACAGTGAGTCTGAAAGCAGAGTCTGACTCCCAGTCCTGTCTATCCCTAGACAAGCATTTATGTGTTTGGAGTGATTCATTCTAAAGCATGAATAACTGATGGACACCACTTGCTCAAACCAGAGTAGGGTTAGAATGTTCCAGAGGCAGGAGAGTTCTTCGGGGGGGGGGGAGTGAGGGGGGGGCTTGCCCACCATACATAGCTAGACATCGCTGAGAAGCTATCTCCTCCCAGACCAGTTCTATGGATGCAGAAACTGAGACTCAGAAATTTATTTCTGTATTGAGGCCACAAAGTCTGTTGCTTCAGAGAATCTAGTAAAAACATTTCCCAGCTGAAAGGGCACTGGTTTGGCTCTGGCCACTTGTGTCCATGTGGCTAGTGCCACTAGAACTTCTGATTTTTCAAGAGGAAACTGAAAAAATTAGTCTAGATTTAAAATTTAAAAAAAAAATTGAAGTCTAGACTTTAATGTAAAAAATGAGCAATTACCTCAACTTTAAGGAAGAAAACAATTTGACCATGGGCTTGAGGTCCTTGGACAGAAGCGTTACAATGCGAAATCCATGGAATCTTCCCTGAATCCCTGGCCCCCACCTCCTTTCCTCAGAGAAAGTTGGGCGGCTGGGAGAACACGGCCCTGTGCCTCAGTTTCCTCGTATGTAAACACTAGGAGGGGACGCAGGCGCTCACAACTTTCCTTGCCTCTCCAAGCTGACGTGCCTACCCCCTGAGTGCTCCCTCCCCTCTCGTCTCTCTGTCTCCACAGGGCTCACCCATCAGAGGACAGCGACTTCTACATGACCTACGAGGGCCCCGACCATGCCTCCCAGCCTGTCTACTGCAACCTGCGGTCGATGCACCAGACCCCACTTGACGAAGAGGAGTACGTGATCCCCGGGTGCTGAGCCTTTGATGCCCTGAACTCCAGCCTGCTGCCTTCTACTTACTTGGGGCATTCTGGCTCTTCCCTGGCCTCAGTCTTCCCACCTGAGGAATGGGGACAAGGAAGGACCATCCCTGGGGCCCTGGGAGGCTCTTCAGCTCCCTCTCCAGCCCCCGCTCTGCTTCTCAGCTCCCTCAGCTGCTGCAAGGGGGAAGAGGAGAGGCCCTGACATGGGGACAGGAGGGTCAGTTTGTGAACGCTGTCATCACCCTCCCGTCGGTGTGCAGGCGGTGCTTAATAAACGCTGCTGGCTCCAGGGCAAGTGGGTTCCTTGAGGTGGGGATTCCCTAAGCTCCCCAGACCAGATTCTCTGAGACTCCCAAATTGTTCCCCACTCTGTCACTCTCAGGCCCTGTTCCCAGGCACTTGGTACCCAGGCTCAGCCCCCAGGGCAGCCCACACTAGCCCCAGAGGGATCATTATAACTTATGAATGGGACTGTGCCCCTCCCCTGCTCACACACCCTCCGTGGCTCCCCATTGCCCCCCAGGACTTCAGCCTGGCGGTTGAGGCCTGCGTGGTTCTGCCCTACCGCCCTCACTATCACTATCCTCTCCCATCCTTCTGTCTTTCTGGTCTAGGCCTCCTCACCACCCAGCCCACCTCGCTCCTGAAGTTTTCATTTGCCCGTGCCACTCCTTTTGCCCAGAAAGCCATCCCCTTCCACTTTTTCTCACTCTTAAATATCTTTTTTTTTTTTTTTAAGATTTTATTTATTTATTCATGAGAGACAGAGGCAGAGGGAGAAGCAGGCTCCCCATGGAGCAGAAAGCCCTATGCGGGACTCTATCCCGGGACCCTGGGATCATGACCTGAGCCGAAGGCAGACGCCTAACCGACTGAGCCACCCAGGCATCCCACACTCTTAAACATCTTAATACAGGTGCAGAACTCTGGTCTGAGTGTCAGGAGGCATGGGTCCAAGTCCTGACTCTGCAGTTAACGGGCCCTCAGTTCCCCCATCTGTACAACAAGGCAATTAGACAGTCTCTGCAGCTGTTTTAGCTTCAATATGCTGAGATGTATTTACTTGTCCTTCAAGGCCAGGTTCAATGCCACTCCACTGAGAAGCCTTTCTCGGTTCCTCCTCAGGCCGAGTTAATAACTCCCAGAGCTCCGTGTATTTCAAGAGTTTTTTCAGACTCATGCCTCAGCTGGGTTTCTTTCTTTCTTTTTTTTTTTTTTTAAGATTTTATTTATTTAAATTTGACAGAGAGAGACAGCGAGAGAGGGAACACAAGCAGGGGGAGTGGGAGAGGGAGAAGCAGACCTCCTGCTGAGCATGGAGCCTGATGCAGGGCTCGATCCCAGGACCCTAGGATCATGACCTGAGCCAAAGGCAGACGCTTAACAACTGAGCCATCCAGGCGCCGCTCAGCTGGGTTTCCTATCAGCTGCTCCCAGCCTGGATCCTGCCAACCCTCCAATCTAGGGGAGAGAGCTGGATACAGACACCCTCAGTCCTGAGAGGTCAAGCCTGGGCTGGAGGGAGGGATGGGGCCAAGGGCTCCAGAGGGAGATGAATGAAAGAGTTTGGAAAAGGCTGCTCATAAGAAGGGAATCTGGAGTGGGTTTTGAAGGATGTGTGTTTGAGAAGCAGAGAGGACATGCATACTGGGTGGGGGGACCGGCCCGGTAAGCAGCAACTAGAGGTATGGAAAGGCACACGGGCATAATAATGTTCAGCAAAGGCAACAGCTGATATTTGGGGAGATGCTCATATGGCATCTGTTAGCTTTGGGGGACCCTGGGATTGAGCTTAACTTTGATGCTCTCTTGGGTTCCCCAACACTTGGGAATGATCTGGGGTGGGAGAGGGCACCTATAAAGGTCTTTAGCTTCCTTGAACCTCTGCATCCCCACCCTAGACACTGTTCAAATGCCCACCCCTGCCCCCTGATCATCTGTCTTCCTCGCCTCCAGCATAAATCAGATCCCAGCCCTCTCCAGCTCCCCCGCCTTCATATCTACCCATGGCTCTTCAAACACACCCACACCCCTCACCACCACCGATGAGATTTGGTGGATTCTGGCCCCCACCCACCTCTCTGACCCCACCTTCAACAGTTTTGCAGCTGAACACTGAGCTTGTTCCTACCTCAGGGCCTTTGCACCTGCTGTTCTGACTTCCTCAAATGCCCATTCCCCAACTCTCCCCCGAGTCCTGTTCTTCCTCCAGGTTTCAGTTCAGATGCCATCTCCTCAGGGAGGCCCCCTCCCCCAACCGTCTAAATCACCTCTGCCTCCACTCATTAATGCACTCCCTGGGTTGACTCCACAGCACAATTCATACTGCAGTCCACCACTTTCTTATTATGTATCTTTGTACTCATTTGTCTTCCTCACTTGACTGAGCTTAGATGGGGTGCTTTTGCCTGTCTTGTTCCTTCTTTTTTTTTAATTAAGATTTTATTTATTTATTTGACAGAGAGAGATAGTGAGAGCAGAACACAAGCAGGGGGAGTGGGAGACGGAGAAGCAGGCTTCCCGCCCAGCAGGGAGCCCGATGTGAGACTCGATCCCAGAACCCTGGGATCATGACCTGAGCCGAAGGCAGACGCTTAACGACTGAGCCACCCAGGCACCCCGTCTTGTTCCTTCTGTGTCCTGAGTGCCCAATCAAGGCCTGGCACAAAGCGGGCATTTACTGAATACATTCATGGGCACCTACAATCATTCAAGTCTGCCTCTGGGTGGCAGCATTCACAGGGGACACACCTCACTCACTGCTGGAAGTAGGTACTCTGTCCCCCAGGCCCCTGTAACATTTCCCTTTGGAGATTCTCAGGGTGAACAGGCAGGTGGGTGTGGGAAGGGGGGACCTGGCACATCTCAGGGATTCCAAGATCCTAAGTAGGAAGACTATATAACATGGGAGATGCCATATGCACAAAAATGTTCTTCACAACGTATTTATTTCCTCCTGTTTTTTTTTTTTTCTTTTTTCTTTTTTAACTGGCTGCTTGGAGTTTACTTTCTACTTGGTGCAAGGCACACAATTATAGGGTATCAGGGAGGCATGCATGTGGTGTGGATAGTAAAGAGTGGGGTTCTCTCAACTTCCTTTTTGGTGTTTTGATATAAGAAAACCCAACTGCTTCTGCTTGCTGCAGCCTGCCTAGTCTAGGGGGAGGGGAAGGGAGGAGAGGGAAAGGGCTCTGATGAGCCTAGCGCCTCCCGAGGCCTGGTGACTGGGGGTGGCCACAGGACTGGGGCGGGGTGTTGGCTTTGCCAGGCTGGCCACCGAGCTGCTTCCTCACAGCTTCCAGAGCCAAGTCATAGGTGATCCGGCCGCTGGAGGCCTGGAGAGATCCTGAGGGTTCTGGGGACTCCCAACACTGTAGTCATGAACAGGAGAGTGGACTTCCTGAAAAAGAAGCTTGCCCACCAGTGACCCGGGTTAGCCTTGGGGAGACCCGGGGTGGTGAGCGATGGCTTCCCCAAGATACTCTGCACTTCTGCAGGAGCTGTTACTGGAAATGGAACCCAGACGGTGCCGGTAATGGCCATGTGTGGTCTGGAGCGAGCGGATGGAGGGGATGGCTGCCATGCTGTTGCTTGTGGGCTGGTGGAAACCAAGCGCAGGCAGAGCCCCAGAACTCCCAGTCGCCTTAGCTGCACAGGGCGTGGCCCTCCTGGCCCTTGGAGGGAGGTGCCCCCAAAAGAAGTGATGGGACTCTTCTAGGTCGGGGGCAACATCACACACAATACACTTGGCTACAGATGGACATGACTCTAGGCTGCCTGTGTTTGGAAAGGTGACTCCAATGCAAGGAGTCTGCACGGCGGTGATAGAGACAGGGCCATATAACTACAGAAACAGGAATACTGAGAGATGAGATATGGAGGGAGACTGCCACCCAGAAACAGACACAAGGAGACAGAGAAGCTGAGACAGAGAGAAGGATTGTCCTTGAGGTGCATCGGTGTCATGAGCATCATCCAATTGCCTGACATGCCAGACGCTCCACCACGCATTCCCTGAACGGTTCCACTCACCCTGATACCAGGTCCCCTGCGAGAACTGAGGCCAAGGAGGGGAAGGTTCTTCCCAGGGTCACACAGCTTCATCCTGGACACCACGGGGCTCCGGTCAGACAACTTCATTTTTATTACCACAGTTTAAATAAGTGCACACCGTCAGACCAGCCCTCCCTAGCCCTCCAGTCCCCAGGGAGATCATCCCAATAAATAAATAATAAATACAAACTTATAAATACAGAGGTTTGAGCGGGACGGGGTAGACAGCAGTGGTGGGAATCGGGCATCTCAGGTCCCACAAGCCCATTCGACAGGCAAGGATCTCTGATCACGAGCCGTAAGTGAAAGACTAGGACCGCTCATACGCAGTGGCAGTCCTTGGCCACGAGGTCATCGAAGGGCGTAAGCGACACGCGACCCTCACTGTCTTGGTGCATGAGCACCACCGGCTCATAGCTGGCGGGCACGCAGCACGGTGCAGGCGCGGCGTCGGGGTTCAGGCCGTGCAGGCGCGCCTGCATCTGCGCGTGCGTGTTAGCCGATCGGAACTGACTTGGGCACGCGCCAATACACATGCGCACGTCTAGCTCGCGAGGCGCCACCACCCAGTTGGCCCAACCCAAGTCCTCGAGCGACGCGCGCAGGCTTTGCAGGCGGCAGCAGCGCCCCTCCCCGAGGGGGCAACCGTCCCCGGCGTGCGCATGCGCGTTGCGGCGCCCCCTGGCCGCGCGTGGCCGCCAGTGCAGCTCAAGCTGGGGACGTGCAGAAGGCAACGTCGCTCCCAACCGGTCCCACGGAGGCAACAGTCGCAGGCGTAGTGTGGGCGCCCGGGAACCTCCAAGGCCGAGTTGACGCTGCAGCGGCCGAGTCACGTCCCACGAGCTCGGCTCCGTCGGGGACAGCTTGAGCAGCGCCCGATGCAGGCGGGAGGATACGGGGAGCCCCTCAGTCAGGTCGGCCCGGGCGATGCGCAGGTGCAGGTGGCCGCCCGGCCCAAGTCTCACTGAGGAAAAGAGGAAAACAGTCAACCACATGCCTACTGTGCTACTGTGCGCCAGGTGCCGAGAGCCCGTTTCCTCCCACGCGCCAAGCTGCATCGCACCTCAGGGCCTTTGCACAAGTTGCTTCCTCTTCCAAGCACACTATTCCCCTGAATCTCAGCATGGCAGGCTACGTATCCCTCCACCCTGCCTAAAATAGGCACTGCCCTATTTTATTTTATTTCATTGCGTATCATTTCATCTTCCCTACTGAATCCCCTCACCAGGGATTTCT